CTTCTCGTGGACTTCAGGGAGCTTTCCAGGTGCATGACTTGATTCTCCATCCATCATGATTTCAACTATGCCTGTCAATTTTGCGATACAGACATCTTGATCTTGAGCATACTTTGTTAAGCCATCCAGTGCCTTTGTCAGGTTTGCAAGTTGCTCCTCCATTGTCGAAGTGTTAGTCATCATTGCCTCCGTGATTATTGCAGATGAGGAAGAATAACCGAAACCTTTCCACGGTTTGAACTCAATTTGGAACATGTCATGTGACGAGATTGGCGTAGAGCCAACACTTAAAACTTCATCATCAGTTTGGGTAAGCTGACTCTTGGTATTGTATAAAGTAAGTTGAGCAAGAGCTTTCTCCACAACTTCTGCAATATTAACTCTTCTCTCTGATTTGCTAGCAAAGGACCTTTCTTCTTCGGATGATGAATGTATCAAAGCATGCATTGGTGCAGCGACACTTGGAGTTCTTGCTGTCCCAAGACGCTCGCGTTGCTTCGGGTGATTAGCCCAAAACTCCACATAGTAGCGTTCAAGATACTTTCAACGTCAGAAGAAAACTTGGAGTCATCAACTTTTGAGTCGATCTTCTTTGAATCCATCTTAGTGATCTTGAATGTTGAGAGTTGAGAAGAGACGAGAGGTAGAGATGGTCCCACTGTGCGTGCCAAAATTTGTAACAACTAATTTTCGCTCCTGAAAAATAATAATCAAGACAAGAAATATAGCGACAAATATTATATTCGATTTCAAGTGATGGGGTTACAATCTCTAAAATATCTCTAAATCTAAATAGATGTAGTCCTCTGATTCTTCTCCTCGCGGATGATGGTTCAAGAGCTTGAGAGCTTGATCTTGAACTTGACGGATTTCAGATTTGTAGTACGTCACGAATAATTTGAAAGTCATCACGAACGAGGATTTGGTGTTGGGTTATCACGAACGGAAGATTTGAATCCGTCCGCCTATGATTTGAGTTCGCCTTTGGAATTTGACCACAGGCGACGATTGCAGATATGGGTGAAAACCTTGATGCTATTCTTCGGAGCTTCTATATCCTTTCCTTCTGCTTACTTTCTTGTTTTAGCTTTCTCCTTTGACCCCTTTATATAGGTGTGGGGTGGAGTAATCTCCAAGAAAATCCTAGTAGATCATTAGGCTTGAGGCTTATGGGTCGACCCATTTGATAAAAGACCAATTGACGGGCTAGCCCAATAATACATTGGACTTTTGTTTAAATCAATTTATTTTAGATTTAAATAATCGACCCTATTATACTAGCCCATAGTATCATTTGGACTACTATATATTTTATATATGATGAAATCCAAATTACTTGTGGGTTTAGATTTAATAAAATTCTATTTGTCTACTGTTTTATAATAGCTTATTTTTCATCTTATATACTTATCCATGTTTCACATTTTATCATTTATAAAATAATACATAAAATCTGTATAATATAAGGTTTATTTATATAATACATCACCAACCAACCGATGCATTAGTTATATTATGTATATTCTCACACACTCCTTTACCTTTGATTCTGTATGAAGTGAATCTATTTCCCTTGAGCAATAGCATGACAAAAGAAATGCATACACTTTTTTGGCCACTTTTTTTAGAAGCACACATGGGAGACAAAAAGGAGTAAAAAGCATGACTAATATGTACAAATGTCATCTTACGTGGAAATCCTATACAATCAATTATCACCATTACCTCTAATCTCACACCCTTTCTTTCCCTTTTTGTATCCTTTATTCTCAATTATGTTTATCTATTCGCTCAACTCAACCCAATTCCTACTTTATTGCTTAAACTCTAGTGACAATGTTGTGTCTTATTACTTTTCGTTTGTTGTAGTGTTAGGTCTATTTACTAACTATCGCTTTTGCTTTGTATCTATTTTATGGTTTTCATGTTGTTGTTATTTTTCCTATGAATTTTGTGGTGGTACTGATATTGTCTCTTTTTGTATTCTTGAGCCGAGAGTCTTTAGGAAATAGTCTCTCTACTCGTTTAGGATAGGGGTAAAGTCTGCATATACACTACCCTCCCCAAACCCCACTAATAAAATTTTACTGGGTCGTTGTTGTTGTTTCATTATCTATATTGCGTTTTCTTTAACCAACATAACAAAGAAAATATATGTCATCAACAAACAAAATAAATCTTTAAAAATTATTTTAAAAATGACAAAAATAATCTATTATATTTTGCGATAGGTTCAAAATGACATTTTACATATATTTGAGCATTTTTTATCAATTAAGTTTGTACAAAATTAACACTTTTGATCTCCGTTAAATATTTAATAAACTTTAGTTATTAAATTTAGGCAAAATAGGCTGACAGACACTTCTACTTATTTGCGTTTGTTATCCCGGTCCCTATACTCAACAAAGTGTTATCTGGACACTTAACCCTTTCACGGTCGCGTGTCTCTAAATCACATGATACTAGAATCCACGTCATATAAAATATGCCACATCACATTTTCTTTTTAATTTTACGTGAAAAAAGAAATAATACTTCTATCTTTTAATTTTTCTTAACTTTTTCTTTCTCCTCTAGTATCACCTTCTCCATCACTGTCATCTTGGCCACCAGATAACACCATAAACATTCTCCCAAAATACCTTACCTATATTCCATACCATTTTTCTTCTTCTCCAACACACATCAGACCAGCCATAGTAGCAACCCAATTTTTTACTTATTTCTCTATTTTCGACAATCTCCATTCGTTCACTCATCACTTCCCATCCATCTTCACGATTTCACTAGCTTCAAATCCCGTCTCTCCTCCCTTAAAATCTCGGTTCCCATAAAAAGGTTCCTAATATTACACTCCATTAGATTTGGGTAGATTTAACTTTATCCATACATAATAACAATCGTACAAGTACAATAAAAAATAAAGATTTCTATCAATCAAATTGCATAAATTTGCACTGAAAACAAACATTCATAAAGCAAAAAATAATGGCAAACAAAGAATTAAGTAGATTATGCAAAAGAAAATCAGATCTATCAAAAATATTTTGAACAAAAAGAAAGAAATGGGGAACGTGCTGGGGAAAGAACGAAAGGGAAGAAAAAAGAAATGGAGAAGGGAGGGGGAGAAAAAGAAAAAGAAATTGAATGGGAGAAGGGCTGGAGAAGACGGGAAGGGGGAGGGATAAGAGAAAAAAGGGGGGGGGGGAAAAA